ACGCCCGGCTATTTTTGTTGCAGTTGCCATTGCTGCTTTAGCTGGCCAGGGCCGGGTTCAAACCCTGTCACCCTTCGTATATGGTACCGGTGCCCTACCCACTGAGCCACAGGTGCTACCCTTCAGCTTTATTTTTTAAAACACCCTCTTCAGTTAAGTGTGTGTGTGTATGGCTGTTTGTATATGGATGTGAGTATATAGATAGAAATTTATTTTAAAACATGCAGTACTGCTATGAAATCATACCAAGCTATGTTCATAAAGATAATAAAAACATTAGCTCTTGCTCAGTACTATCAAAAGTGTAAAGTTAACATCATTTTGATCAAAGAAGATAGTCTTCTGCCAGTTCCCTCTTGATGTCCAGAGCCATCCGAACAAAGCTATTTGACTCAATGGAATCAAGAAAACAACTGAAGATTCTAGCTTACTGAAGCATGAACTTGCTTTGAGATATGATCTAAATTTGGGGTAGAGTATCTACGTTTTTCTAGAATGTAATAGAATCTTTCTCCAAAATTAAGCATTTATCACTCACAGAAGTTTCTCCTTTGCTCATACCCTTCATTTTTCCCATGAATTCTTCCTTGGCTTTGCCCTCAATTTGGAAATAACTGACAGTAATTTGCATCCACACAAATTCTTTCTTGCTGCTTCAATATATTCCATTAAGGAAAGTGAGAATCCATGAAAATTCAGAACATTACCAACAGATACATTTACTTCTATAGCCAATCTATCAGCATGGGTCCCTTTATTATTATCCAAAGCAAGAGCACTGTGATATATTAAAATAAGTAAGTTACCACGCCTATTTACCCATGCCAAAGAGTAGTCACAAGCACTTTCAGCCTTTTAATGTTGGGCACTTAATTATAGCAAATCCATTATGGGTATGAATCAAAAAGTAGATTTCCCCATAGCAGAATATATCTTCTTCCTTTTGTTTTTGTTTTTATCCTATTATTTTGTGAAAATTTTCAAACAGAGAAAGGTTTAATTATATAGTGAACAACCCTAGATTCTATAGTTAACATCTTGCTGTACTATTAGGAAAAATCTTCTTAAATCACAATTTTGGGTGTATCTAGTCTCTGACGATCAAAAGCAGCATTACATGTTATATATAGTAACGAAGGTCTTGTCTGACAGAAAAAATGGAAGAGATTTTCAACCTTACCCAAGGCCTAGCCATAAAATTCTTATCAGAATGAATTGGGCTTTTTCTAGATTCACTAAAAAGAAAAATCATTCTCAGTGCATCCAAATAACTGAAAGCTTCTTTTCAGTTTTGAAACAGAAGTCAGTTAAACACCATACAGAAAAAGAAATGGCCCAGACACCGATAAAAACATTTCAGTTCAAGGAAACAATATTTGGAAAAGAGGTAATTTCTAAGTACGCATGCCATACAGTGCACATGGCTCACCTGTACTGAATGAGCAGGATACTATTTAGAAATTCTTTTTTTTTTTTT